TGTACATAGAGAAAGTCTTAGATCTTTGAGTTCAGCTCATGATGAATGGGGGCAAAAACAAAAGTGTTGCGTTTATAATTTTGTTCAGTGTATGTTTTTTTTTTTGACAAAAATTGCTCTTTTGATAGTATAGGCTGCTGACTTCTGCCTTAGGCCATATTGTCTCTCTTAACCCAGTTTAGGGTAAGATTAGATTAGGGTTAGATTAATCATTCCCAGTATAACACTTGCATTCCATCCAATGTTTATTCTTTGTATAAAATGTATTTCTTATGTATAAAATACGTAATCAGGTTTGACTGCAACTCCTCCTTGCAAGTTTGTCTCATTCTCCTGAACTGGGTGAAGAAGCAAAAAGAAGCATAAGTAATTTATTGGTTAAGATGGTTAACCAAAAGTTCACTGAAGCCGACCCCTATGAAGTAAGAAGGGATAGAAACAGGGTATGACTGGAGTAACTTTGACAGAGTAAAGGTTTATTGTTATACTCTTGTTTTGTCCTGTTTTACTTTTTGGTTACGATACCGTTGTAAGAACATAGTTGCTGTCAATTACACCAAAAACTTCCTAGATTACATTGGTTAATTGCATTACAGTCCTCTGATTAGCTATCATCAGACAGAGACATTTACATCAAGGACTTGACCCTTCAGCAAATGGTTATACAGTTGCGAGAAAAAGCTCTGCTCTTTTGAGAGAACTCTCAAAGAATCCACACAATACTGTTTAATAAAAACACATGGACATTATATTAGTGTTAATTGAACAATAGGACAAATATAACAAATAACAAGGAAGTTGGGGTGTTATTATGGCAGCAAATAGTGCTGGTATGAATGTTTTTGCTAAGTAATAGTTAGAAGTTGTACTTGGTGTAATGGCTGCGCTGTACACCTGCATGATTAAATTTGGCCGTTAAGCTGGGGTCAGCTAAACCACACAGTAAATGAATAAACCAGTGATTGTGAAGCATGAATCAAACGGCTGATGCCAATCTGTGAGTCCTGAACTAATGTTATGGTCCAGATCTGACACCGTGAGATTTGACAAATAAATGCATTTTTCTGGATGAACCCAAAGTCTACATGCATATTATCCATCCTATATCTTGGATGGAACCATTTCTTCTTTTTCTAATGCCCTGGTTATTCAGAAAGAGAAAATATTCACCATTGATTTTTGTGCTGGGGCACGTTGTCATGAACATGCAGCAAAGTCAGAAATGTTTCAACTCTTAGCTTAGCATTTTTTTTGCTTTTTCTATCAAGGGCAAATATTGTTCACCAAATGCTGCTAGACCTATGATCCACTCTCGACCCGCATTCAGCGCCTGCTGGGTATCGAGCACATTCACAGTATCTGCTTGTCATTCAAAAGTCAATTTATTTGATAAGCCCCAAATATCCTTGTGCATCAGTTGGAAAAAAATTGCTAAATTGCTTGCTTTTTTTGGTTCATACAATGTGACCCTGCCATTGTCTTGAACTGACCCAGAGAACAATAATGCTTTTAAAACCATAGGAGACAAAGACAACTCTCTGTAAGTTATTGAGTGTTTTCATTATACTCCATCAATCTGTACCATCAATTCTTCCCTATGTCTACGGCTGACAAGAAAAGACAATTTGAAAATTTGAAAATATCTGCCTATATTTGACCTCCCTGTTTTGTTTTAATGTGCAAATTTGCATTTTGTGATTTGTATATTACAGTTTTATTAATACACTCAGAGGTCTAATGTGTAGGATTTAGTGGCATCTAGTGGTGTAGTTGCAGATGGCATGTAGGAGAAACTACGGCGGCCTCCATGGATGACAACCTGTGTCTCTAGATAAAAAAATGTTCATTTTAAGCTAATGAAAATATAACCATTTGACTTTCAGGATATTATACACCAATGGAAACATAGTTATACATATTATATTCACTGGTCCTTTAAATTAAATCTTAAAAAAAATTGTTTACTTTTTGCTTGTAATCCTGATTGGGATATAATAGATATTTTAGAAGTCTTTCTTAAAAATTAAAACACATCAAACAACTCTTCTCCAGTGCTCCATGCTTTATTCACCAAAGGTTCTGAGCTCTCTTTAATGCATCACAGTGTCTGAGGCTGTTTCCAATTTTCTTATACAATTAATTGATCAGTCATGTGACTGATAAATCACCATACAAATATAGATGACCATAATACAGACTATATAATATTACAATCATCTTAAGCCATAAATAGTAAAAAGGCTTCATATTAATTTTCTTCAAACTAATTCAAATTCAAAACATGACCTACTCCAATCCTTCCCCTCACTTAATATTTATGAATAACCCTAGAGAACTTCAAAGTCAATCCTAATTTACCTTAACACATCCATATTTTAACTAAATTTCCAATCATTCTGAAAAAATACTATAATCCAGTAGACGCCATGAAGCCCGAGAGGGTTAAATGAGAAATTAGACTTGAAGCCATTTTTGATTGACTTGCACTGAAGCTTACACTGGTCTACAGCTCACTGTGTGTGTTCTTAAAGTAAGAAAGATGTCTTACTTAAACATCAGTGAGCATGTAGAATATATATTGTATTGTACATTCTTTTTGAGTGTGTGAATTTGACCTGCACATACATGCGAGTGTAATAAACCTTAAATGCCACAATTACAACAATAGACTATACTGTATAGACATCAGATTCACTTTTATTTATTTACACATAAAAGGCAGGTTTGGGAAGTAAACCATTAAAGTTTATTAGTTACCTGCTTAAAAGTGTCAACAGTAGCACAATCAGTTTGCAAGAAGCTGGTGTGGCAAGTAACAGACTCTGCCAGTTCTCAACAACTGTTGTCAATTTGTCCATAAACAGGGCACTTAAACTCCAACTGCTCCATTAAAGTTACTCACTGGCCCTACAGTAAAGAATGCGCTCTACTCCTACTAATGTTGTTGGGTGTTATCCATGCCAGCAGGTACTGTGGCTTACTCTTGTAACGAGCCATGTTTCCAGTTTCACACCTTTGATTTTGGTGCATATATGAACCTTCAAAGACTTTGTCTTTGCCTGGCTGACTATGTAACTAACAAAAACACATATGGAAAATCTTTACTGAAAGCATTTAAGAGTTCCAAGTTGTAAACACATCTGTGAGGGCTGCATCATGTGGGGATTCATACGCAATCTAAACCTGATAGGAGTCGCTCTTCGGTTCCTTCATATCGACCATGTTTTCTAAGAAACAATATTTCAGATTGTTTCTCCAGCAAGATTATTATTAAAGCTTTGTCTCTGTACAGCATCACTAACAGCCTCGCCCTAACTATCGTCTCTCTCCTTCTCTCTCTCTCGCTCTCTCT